CCACACCAGGGTCCAGACAGGGATCGATGCATCGTGGGAGGACTGAGGGGAAGCTCCGCGTTGAGGAGGGAGAAGAGGGAGGAGACGTCACGCCCGGAGCCGAAGCCGCCACTGAGGCTGGAAGCCCACCCAGACCCTCCCCTGTTAAGTCAGGTTTGTGCGGCCGGAGTCCGCACCTTTGGGGGGCGGGGGGTACTGTCACGCCCTGACCTATAGAACTCTAGTTAGTTTGGTCAGGGTGTGCATGTTTAGTATCTATGTTATGTTTTCTATGTGTAGAATCTAGGTATTGGTTTTCTATGTTTGGCCGGGTGTGATTCCCAATCAGAGACAGCTGTCACTCGTTGTCTCTGATTGAGGATCATACTTAGGTAGCCCAGTTGCCTACTATGTTTGTGGGATCTTGTTCCGTGTATAGGCTTGTATTGTGTTTAGCCTGAGGACTTCACGTTTTGTTGTTTTTGTTTGTGTGTTTATTTTAATAAATAAACATGTATGCATTTCACGCTGCGCCTTGGTCTGACCCGTCCTTCAACGACCGTGACAAAGGCAGAATGCCGCCAAGGCCTGATTTATCGTGAGCAAGTGCCGACCCAAACAACATGGCTGTTATCATAAAAGTAGGTACCTACCTAACTTGCAAATCCGGGTTAGTTATGAATATCTTTGTCCGAGTTTAAATGAATTGGCTAGCTATATAACGTTAGCTAACATAGGGATCTTAGCTAGGAGAGCAAAGGTTATTTATAATAAGGGTTACATGAACTTCTCTGAAATGAAAATGGATGGCCCTCGCTTCAGAAAGAAATATTTTACCTAAACCCTCCTTGAATACTTAAAAAAAACATGTGACCCCCACTATACCCAAAATAATAATTAAAACAAAGCAGAGAACATGTCTACCATTTACCCTCACTTCTTGGACAGACCAGAGCCTTAGATACAGTGCATTTGGAAAGTATTCAGACCCCTTGACTTTTTCCACATTTTGCTACATTACAGCATTATTCTCAAATGGATAAAAAAAATTAAAATCCTCATCAATCTACACACAATATCCCATAAAGACAAAGCAAAAACAGGTTTTTAGAAATGTTTGCTAAGTTATAAAAAACAAAAACACCTTATTTACATAAGTAATCAGACCCTTTGATATGAGACTAGAATTTGAGCTCAGGTGAATCCTATTTCCATTGATCATCCTTGAGATGTTTCTACAACTTGATTGGACTCCACCTGTGGTAAATTCAATTGATTGGACATGATTTGGAAAAGCATACACCTGTCTATATAAGGTCCCACAGTTGACAGTGCATGTCAGAGCAAAAACCAAGCCATGTGGTCAAAATAATTGTCCGTAGAGCTCCGAGACAGGATTGTGTTGAGGCACAGATCTGGGGAAGGCTACCAAAAAATGTCTGCTGCATTGAAGGTCCCCAAGAACACAGTGGCCTCCATCATTCTTAAATGGAAGAAGTTTGGAAGCAGCAAGACTCTTCCTAGAGCTGGACTCCCGGCCAAACTGAGCAATCGGGGGAGAAGGGCCTTGGTCAGCGAGGTGACCAAGAACCAGATGGTCACTCTGACAGAGCTCCAGAGTTCCTCTGTGGAGATGGAAGAACCTTCCAGAAGGTCAACCATCTCTGCAGCACTCCACCAATCAGTCCTTTCTGGTAGAGTGGCCAGACGGAAGCCACTCCTCAGTAAAAGGCACGACAGCCCGCTTGAAGTTTGCCAAAAGGCATCTAAAGGACTCAGACCTTGAGAAACAAGATGCTCTGATCTGATTAAACCAAGATTGAACTTTTTGGCCTGAATGCCAAGCGTCACATCTGGAGGAAACCTGGCACCATCCCTACGGTGAAGCATGGTGGTGGCAGCATCATGCTGCAGGGATGTTTTTCAGTGGCAGGGACTGGGAGACTTGTCAGGATTGAGGGAAAGATGAACGGAGCAAAGTACAGAGACTTCCTTGATGAAAACCTGCTCCAGAGTACTCAGGACCTCAGACTGGGGTGAAGGTTCACCTTCCAACAGGACATCGACCCTGAACACACAGCCAAGACAGCGACGCTCCCCATCCAACCTGATCTAGCTTGAGAGATGTGCAGAGAAGAATGGGAGAAACTCCCCAAATACAGGTGTGCCAAGCTTGTAGCATCATACCCAAGAAAATGTCATGCAATTCTACGTAATTTTACATATTAGCAGATTCTTTAATACCACACAAATTACAGGCTAGGACTGGACAGAGAGATAGGCCTATGTGAAAAATAGGAGTAGGTTGTAGAGAATCAAAGGACTATGAATGTAATAAGAAACTTTAGGTGCTGGCGTAATGCCGGTAGCAACCACTACAGAATGTCCGGTCAGAACAAGGATGAGGCGGATATCCAGGTTAAGGGGAGATTAATGGAAGAAGATGTCCACATTCACACATACATCACACACACACACACATCTGGCCACTCATGGTCAGATAACTGAGAATCATGTCCAGTGAGAACTGACATTAATTATGGTTCTGAAAGGAAAGAGGAGAAAGAAAACATAGGCTATAGCACTGCTATAATATGAATTACATGTATGCTAGCACATAAACTAGCACACCACAGCAGGCATAAGGCCTATTCACATGGCAATCTACTAAAAAGCCTAGTGGACTTGTACACATGAACCTCAGGCAAATGTGCTCAAATAAACATTACAGTAATGTTGAAATGTATACATAACATAAATACAATGAGCATGAGCGATACATATAGTACCAGTCAAAAGTTTTGACACACCTACTCATTCAAGGGGTTTTCTTTATTTTTACTATTTTCTATATTGTAGAATAATAGTGAAGACTTCAAAACTATGAAATAACACATATGGAATCATGTAGTAACCAAAAAAGTGTTAAACAAATCAAAATATATTTTATATTTAACATTCTTCAAATGGCCACCCTTTGCCTTGATGAAAGCTTTGCACACTCTTGGCATTCTCTCAACCAGCTTCATGAAGTATTCACCTGGAATGCATTTCAATTAACAGGTGTGCCTTGTTAAAGGTTAATTTGCGGAATTTCTTTCCTTTTTAATGCATTTCAGCCAATCAGTTGTGTTGTGACAAGGTAGGGGTGGTATACAGAAGATAGCCCTATTTGGTAAAAGACCAAGTCCATATTATGGCAAGAACAGCTCAAATAAGCAAAGAGAAACAACAGTCCGTCATTACTTTAAGACATGAAGGTCAGTCAATCCGGAACATTTCAAGAACTTTGAATGTTTCTTCAAGAGCAGTCGCAAAAACCATCAATCGCTATGATGAAACTGGCTCTCATGAGAACCGCCACAGGAATGGAAGACCCAGAGTTACCTCTGCTGCAGAGGATAAGTTCATTAGAGTTACCAGCCTCAGAAATTGCAGCCCAAATAAATGCTTCAGTGTTCAAGTCACAGACACATCTCAACATCAACTGTTCAGAGAGGACTGTGTGAATCAGGCATTCGTGGTCGAATTGCTGCAAAGAAACCACTACTAAAGGACACAAATAATAAGAAGAGACTTGCTTGGGACAAGAAACACGAGCAATGGACAATAGACCAGTGGAAATTTGTCCAGATTTGAGATTTTTGGTTCTTTGTGAGACGCGGTGTGGGTGAACGGATGATCTCCGCATGTGTAGTTCCCACCGTAAAGCATGGAGGAGGAGGTGTTATGGTGTGGGGGTGCTTTCCTGGTGACACTGTCTGTGGTTTATTTAGAATTCAAGGCACACTTAACCAGCATGGCTACCACAGAATTCTGCAGCGATACGCCATCCCATCTGGTTTGGGCTTAGTGGGACTATCATTTGTTTTTCAACAGGACAATGACCCAACACACCTCCAGGCTGTGTAAGGGCTATTTGACCAAGAAGGAGAGTGATGGAGTGCTGCATCAGATGACCTCCACAATCCCCCGACCTCAATCCAATTGAGATGGTTTGGGATGAGTCGGATGGCAGAGTGAAGGAAAAGCAGCCAACAAGTGCTCAGCATATGTGGGAACTCCTTCAAGACTGTTGGGAAAGCATTCCAGGTGAAGCTGGTTGAGAGAATGCCAAGAGTGTGCAAAGCTGTCATCAAGGCAATATTTTGATTTGTTTAACACTTTTTTGGTTACTACATGATTCCATATGTGTTATTTCGTAGTTTTGATGTCTTCACTATTATTCTACAATGTAGAAAATAGTACAAATAAAGAAAAACCCTTGAATGAGCAGGTGTGTCCAAACTTTTGACTGGTACTGTATATATACACAATAGAAAATAGCCTAGCACCATAAAATGAGCAAAGCTAATAAATGGCTAATCTCTAACAGTCATACTAAAATGCTCATGCAAAATGCTAACGCTAGCGGGAGCACGAGCTAGCGAACAAACTCAACACACACACTGTAATTATACACAATAGACCACAAAACTTAGCTCCACATAATATGACACAGATCTCAAGGCACTTATGTTTAGATGCACGCACAATTAAAGATCAGACAGACAGGGATGTCCAAAGGAGGAAAAGTTAAGCAGGAGGGAAAACTGTGGTAGTGCTTATCAGGATGGGGAAAGCACGTTTCTGACCACAGAGTGTGCTGTGGTCATAGACTAACTGAAACTGAAGTCCTGGGAATCAAGGCCGCTGATAGGCTGAACGAGATGTGGTGATAACTAATTGGCTTGACCTTAACCAATAAGCCACTAACAAAAGTGGGGGTCCTCTGAATGGGAGACTAACCTGCCCGACTAGAACTAACCAGAAGGGATGGCTAAAATCAGCTGACTGAAGCTGGCCGTTTTAACAGCCACTCCCAAATGTGTTGTACAAATTTGAAATCCACAACAAAGGGCAGCTAGGGCAGACAGTCAATGAGAGGAATGACATGAATACTTGTGGTCATCTAGAGAGGCAGAAATGTAGACCAGACGGGCGACTGGTCCAACAGAAGGCCTGTCTTTTGATGCACCTTGCCGCCCCGTCACAAAGGTGCTTGAGTTCACCAGACCAGGGCGAGTGACGCTGTGGGGGCCAGTGCAGGCTGTGAGGCAGTTCTGGAAGAGGGGAACCAACTAGATGTGGTGGTGGATCTGATGGCGGCTGCCCCCTCTGCCCAGGAACAGGCAACAGGAGTACCTCAACAGTGAGGGCTTGTAAGACCCCCAGGGGAGGAGCAGGAGTCATATTGACCCCTGGCACAGTGTCAGCTGAAGACACCAGGACTGGAGACCGCAGAGCCACCGCGGCAGAGCTCGACGAGCGTCTCAGGACTGGAGACCGCAGGGCTGCAGCAGCAGAGCTCAACGAGGACCTTGGGACTGGATACTTAGGTGGCTGGAGCCACAAAGCAGCAACGAGCAGTGGCCACCGGACAAGCCAGACGCAGGCAGAGGGACCAGGTGAAGGCCCCGGATCAGGAGGTTGGGCCGCAGCAGTAAAGCTCGATGAAGGTCTCAGCACATACTCAACACAATGTTCTGGTAACCGGGGCATGGAGGCTATCGTACACATGGGGAAGTTAATCTGAGAAAATAAATATATTTAGAGGAAGCAACACATTAGATCCCGGAATAAAAAAGAATAGCCTTCCTGATACATCTGGACATAAAACAAAAGCTAGCACACCTGTGATGGGTAGAGCTCCAGGGTGCAGTAGATGCAGGCAGTCATGCCAGGGAAGACTACCCAAAGCGTTGCCCTTGAAGCCCTCTGTCCTCCTGTCAATCAGCAGGATGATGGAGCTGGAGTCCAGCACCCCGTCTTTATAAACCATCAGAGACAGCTAGAGAGGAAAGGAACATCACACAGGGTAAATGTGAAAAAGGCAGACCACACTGATCTCTGTTTAACAATCAGTTTTGTATATCTAATGGACTGGCTTTTTATAGATTGATCATGGAAATCTGTGCAGGACATAAGGGTACTTGAACAAGTGAGCACTAGATTAATTTTGACTTGATCTATATTTAATTTAAAATACTTTTTGTAATAACATACCAACATGCCATTCATCCACCTCCTGGTGATTATGGAGTTGAGTCCACAAACTATTATGTGGAATTCTGGGTGAGGTAGACAAAGATGTAATTATTTCAAATGAAACAAAACATACAGCTAATTTGATGTTTCCCATAATGAGTAATCTGGAAGAGGATGAGGATAGAAGAGTCCCAGTACCTACGTCTGTAAAACGGCTCATCAAAGTCTTCGATTTTCTTGAAATGGCTGTGAAATTTTTTACAGATATCAGTAGATTAGGGCGGCATGTTGCCTAGCGTTTACAGCGTTGGGCCAGTAACCGAAAGGCCGCTGGTTCGAATACCCTGTAAAACAACACATTTAACTGTACCTAAGTGACAATAAAAAAAAAAAAAATATTAGCCTGGGCTATAATAATAATTGATAATAAATCAACTCCCAAATCACCCATTTTACCTTATCTCCAAAGGATACGGCAACACATTGCATCCTGGAATGCGGCTATTGATAAAATCCGCTGCAATGTCTGCCTTTGGCCGTCCCACATCCTTCAGCCTTGAGAGATACACATACCATCCATTAGAAAAAGTATAGTGCATTCGATGAGTATTCAGACCCCTTGACTTTTTCCACATTTTGTTACGTTACAGCCTTATTCTAAAATGGTTTAAATTGGGGGGTTTCCTCATCAATCTAAACACAATACCCCATAATGACAAAGCAAAAACAGGTTTTTTGAAATGTTGGCAAATATAAAAAACTGAAATATCACATTTACAGTGAGGGAAAAAAGTATTTGATCCTCTGCTGATTTTGTACGTTTGCCCACTGACAAAGAAATTATCAGTCTATAATTTTAATGGTATGTTTATTTGAACAGTGAGAGACAGAATAACAACATAAAAATCCAGAAAAACGCATGTCAAAAATGTTATAAATTGATTTGCATTTTAATGAGGGAAATAAGTATTTGACCCTCTGCAAAACATGACTTAGTACTTGGTGGCAAAACCCTTGTTGGCAATCACAGAGGTCAGACGTTTCTTGTAGTTGGCCACCAGGTTTGCACACATCTCAGGAGGGATTTTGTCCCACTCCTCTTTGCAGATCTTCTCCAAGTCATTAAGCTTTCGAGGCTGACGTTTGGCAACTCGAACCTTCAGCTCCCTCCACAGATTTCCTATGGGATTAAGGTCTGGAGACTGGCTAGGCCACTCCAGGACCTTAATGTGCTTCTTCTTGAGCCACTCCTTTGTTGCCTTGGCCGTGTGTTTTGGGTCATTGTCATAATGGAATACCCATCCACGACCCATTTTCAATGCCCTGGCTGAGGGAAGGAGGTTCTCACCCAAGATCTGACGGTACATGGCCCCATCCATCGTCCCTTTGATGCGGTGAAGTTGTCCTGTCCCCTTAGCAGAAAAACACCCCCAAAGCATAATGTTCCCACCTACATGTTTGACGGTGGGGATGGTGTTCTTGGGGTCATAGGCAGCATTCCTCCTCCTCCAAACACGGCGAGTTGAGTTGATGCAAAAGAGCTCCATTTTGTTCTCATCTGACCACATCACTTTCACCCAGTTCTCCTCTGAATCATTCAGATGTTCATTGGCAAACTTCAGACGAACATGTATATGTGCTTTCTTGAGCATGGGGACCTTGCGGCCGCTGCAGGATTTCAGTCCTTCACGGCGTAGTGTGTTACCAATTGTTTTCTTGGTGACTGTGGTCCCAGCTGCCTTGAGATCATTGACAAGATCCTCCCGTGTAGTTCTGGGCTGATTCCTCACCATTCTCATGATCATTGCAATTCCACGAGGTGAGATCTTGCATGGAGCCCCAGGCCGAGGGAGATTGACATTTCGTTTGTGTTTCTTCCATTTGCGAATAATCACAGCAACTGTTGTCACCTTCTCACCAAGCTGCTTGGCGATGGTCTTGTAGCCCATTCCAGCCTTGTGTAGGTCTACAATCTTGTCCCTGACATCCTTGGAGAGCTCTTTGGTCTTGGCCATGGTAGAGAGTTTGGAATCTGATTGATTGATTGCTTCTGTGGACAGGTGTCTTTTATACAGGTAACAAACTGAGATTAGGAGCACTCCCTTTATGAGTGTGCTCTAATCTCAGCTTGTTACCTGTATAAAAGACACCTGGGAGACAGAAATCTTTCTGATTGAGAGGGGGTCAAATACTTATTTCCCTCATTAAAATGCAAATCAATTTATAACATTTTTGACATGTGTTTTTCTGGATGTTTTTGTTGTTATTCTGTCTCTAACTGTTCAAATCAACCAACCATTAAAATTATAGACTGATAATTTATTTGTCAGTGGGCAAACGTACAAAATCAGCAGGGGATCAAATACTTTTTTCCCTCACTGTACATAAGTATTCAGACCCTTTACTTAGTACTTTGTTGAAGCACCTTTGGCAGCAATTACAGCCTTGAGTCTTCTTGGGTATGACGCTACAAGCTTGGCACACCTGTATTTGGGGAGTTTCTCTGCAGATCCTCTCAAGCTCTGTCAGGTTGGATGGGGAGCGTCGCTGCACAGCTATTTCCAGGTCTCTCCAGAGATGTTCAATCGGGTTCAAGTCCAGGCTCTGGCTGAGCCACTCAAGGACATTCAGAGACTTGTCCCGAAGCCACTCCTGCGTTGTCTTGGCTGTGTGCTTAGGGTCGATGTCCTGTTAGAAGGTGAACCTTCGCCCCAGTCTAAGGTCCTGAGCACTCTGGAGCAGGTTTTCATAAAGGATCACTCTGTACTTTGCTCCGTTCATCTTTCCCTCGATCTTGACTAGTCTCCCAGTCCCTGCCGCTGAAAAACATCCCCACAGCATGATGCTGCCACCACCATGCTCCACCGTAGGGATGGTGCCAGGTTTCCTCCAGACGTGACGCTTGGCATTCAGGCCAAAGAGTTCAATCTTGGTTTCATCAGACCAGTTTACATACCAATCTTGTTTCTCATGGTCTGAGAGTCCTTTAGGTGCCTTTTGGAAAACTCCAAGTGGGCTGTCATGTGCCTTTTACTGAGGAGTGGCTTCCATCTGGACACTCTACCATAAAAGCCTGATTGGTAGAGTGCTGCAGAGATGGTTGTCCTTCGGGTTCTTGGTCACCTCCCTGACCAAGGCCCTTCTCCCCTGATTGCTCAGCTTCGCCGGGCGGCCAGCTCTAGGAAGAGTCTTGGTGGTTCCAAACATCTTCCATTTAAGAATGATGGAGGCCACTGTGTTCTTGGGGACCTTCAATGCTGCAGAAATGTTATGGTACCGTTCTCCAGATCTGTGCCTCGACACAATCTTGTCTCAGAGCTCTACGGAAAATTCCTTCGACCTCATGGCTTGGTTTTTGCTCTGACATGCACTTTCAACTGTGGGACCTTATATAAACAGGTGTGTGCCTTTCCAAATGATGTCCAATCAATTGAATTTACCACAGGTGGACTCCAATCAAGTTGTAGAAACATCTCAAGGATGGTCAATGGAAACAGGATGCACCTGAGCTCAATTTCGAGTCTCATAGCAAAGGGTCTGAATACTCATGTAAATAAGGTATTTCTTGTTTTCGCTTTGTCATTATAGGGTATTGTGTGTAGATTGATTAGGAAAACATATACTTAATCAATTTTAGAGTAAGGCTGTAAATGTAACAAAATTCTGAAAAAGTTAAGTGGTCTGAATACTTTCCGAATGCACTGTATATACAAAATCAACAACACACCAATAATGAAAAATAATGAGAAAAAAGTAAAAGGCAAATGATCTGACCTAAAGAAGATCTGTCTGTTGAGGTTGGAAACGTCAATGGTATCCATGTCAACAACGTATATGTGACGAAAACCTGAAAAGGCCTGGTCCACTGCATCCCCAAAAGAAGGGAAAAAGATAGAGGGAATATCTATCAGAACCAATGTTGTTGTATGTGTCCTAATTAAACTACTTAATTAAGACTACACTGGGGATCTTTTTCCTCAAGAGATAGGCTATTCTACTTACATTTCCGCCAAAGATATGATACGCCAACTGACGGTTACTAGCAGAACAGTGTGTGGAGGTCTATCTCTCACATTGCCACTCATTGCAAAGGGAAAATATGTTGTAGAGTAGCATGTGCATTCAAGAGATGAAATCGTACCAAATCTTTGAGAAGTTCACATCCAAGGCCACCTGCTCCAATAACAAGTATTTTGCAGATGTCTAAGAAAAACTGGAGCAACTGTAAGGAAATAAGCAACAGTTCTATTAGGGCTAGGTTAATCAATAATAAAGGAGGATATCACAGCACACTCAAAGTATTCAGATGTGCAACTGAGCTCTGGTATGATATGAACCATGGCTTTTAGTATGAAACTATTTCCAACCCATTCAGTGCTGTTCTTTGTTTTATTTACAAACTTTGAGTATGCACTGTGATGATTACCTCTGTGCTAGGCTCAAAGTCATGGTAAGCGTAAGGTCCTGGTCTTTCCAGAAACGTATTGATGTGGTTCCATCGTCCATCCCATTCGCCCCTGTCTCCGCTGCCCCCACCCACCACCATCCTGGAGAGAACACAGGACAGGACTCCAGCTAAATATGTTAGTGGGGAGATATTTGAGGATGATGAAACTTCATTATCTAATAGATTTTACATTTTGAAAAAACAGCTGCCATACATATTTATAGCAGACAACTAGCAGAGAAGCAAATTATTGTTATTTTACAAACAATAATATGTAGAAAGTACAGTCATGATTACCTAGCAGCAACCTTATGACATATTTTCTTGTCTCATGTTTATTTTTGTTTATATGCTATTCATTCTGCACCTAGGCTACCATGCTATGGAAGAAGCACAGTAGCTAATTGACAGCCAGTAAGTACCAACAAGCCTACACTACAGTCAATGGTTGAATCAGTTTCAAAGCAGCCATTTGTAGGGATACTACGTTATAGACCAACAACAACAGGAAATATTTACTGTAGAATAGTTAGAACTAGTTAGCGTAGCTATATATTTGGGTTTAGCTGCCCTCTGAGTTATTCAAGACAGCTTTTTACTCCCTGCTCTATTCACCCTCTCAAACCTGCTGCCAGTTCTAGCAATTCATTACTAACTTCTCAGTCAGCTCCATTACTCTCATTATTTTCTTCTCCCTAAAAAGAGAGAATAAAAGAAGGTTCATTCATGCTTTGCTTTCAGCAGGTAACCAGTTAATGCGATTTGAAAGCATAGTTCGGCTGTTAATAACGCCTATTTCTTGCTTGTTTACTTCTGCAGTTACTGACGGCTCGTCTGTATGAGCCATTTTCGTTCCCAGGAAGACAAATAGCTACACACAATGCATTGCACGGACAACGGTGTGGTGATGGACAATGCAATCTGGGAATCCTTTAGACGTCCCTACCCTAAACCCTAACCTTAAACCCTAGCCTTAACTCCTAACCTTAACCCCTACCCTAACCTTAACCATAACCCTTAACCATTTTACATTTCTACGGGGTAAGGACGTCCCAAGGATTCTGAATAGCACGGACCGTGTGGTGATGGTTTATCAGAACTGATGTCTTCTACGTTTGTGGCTACAGGCTAGAATATAGAGTACGGACTAAAATGTTCATGTTCGAGTTGTCGGGTACAACCGTAGCATTTTAGCTAAGCCTAACTCTTAACGGTTTGGGAAACCGCGATCTAGACTAGCACTAACCCCTGAGGAAAGCCTTTATTCACTATGATACCAGTAGGTGGCAGTATATTGTATGAAATTACAGAGATAAACTAGTGGAAAATTAAAGATACGTCTGGTAAGAGTGTCACTGCAATAATATTGAATAAGTCAAAGGGTAGGCCTAAAATACAAAAAGCAACCATACAGTGTGTTTCAGGTACCCTGCTTGCCGTTCTCTTTCACATGGTCTATGTAACATTTTACTTCTAATTGTGGTTCTTTTGTAACTACGTTTTTGTGTTGGATGGATGGTGGTTTAATAATGGCAAAGAGGGTGAATATGACTGTGGTAATTACTTGATAATTACACTGCTGAGGGAACAGCTCTTTAAGATTAGCAATTACCTATAAAACCAGTTAACAGTCTTGGAGGGGATGGGAAAATAGCCTGTCTGGAGTAAATTTCTTTTCAAGAAGAAAGAGTCCTTGAGAGTGGCAATTAATGTCAGTTGTACTTACTTGCCTGGATGCAATCTGCAGCACAATCAATTATTCAGGGCTGCCTTGGCATATATTTACATCACTCTTGTCTTGTGTGTTATTTTTAGATGTAGGGCTATCTATTTACATCAGTGGTTCCCAACTAGGGGTCACGGCCCCATGTGGTTTTGCCTGAAATGAAAATGTGGTCTCTAGGGAACTTCCAAAAGGCATATATATACAGTACCAGTCAAAAGTTTGGACACATACTCATTCCAGTTTTTTTTTTTTTTTTGTGTGACTATTTTCTACATTGTAGAATAATACTGAGGACATCAAAACTATGAAATAACACATATGGAATCATGTAGTAACCAAAAAAGTGTTAAACAAATCAAAATATATTTTATATTTGAGATTCTTCAAAGTAGCCACCCTTTGCCTTGATGAAAGCTTTGCACACTCTTGGCATTCTCTCAACCTCAGGAGCCCTGATGCATTTCAATTAAAAGGTGTGCCTTGTTAAACGTTAATTTGTGGAATTTATTTTCTTCTTAATGCGTTTGAGCCAATCAGTTGTGTTGTGACAAGGTAGGGGTGGTATACAGAAGATTGCCCTATTTGATAAAAGACAGAGTCAATATTATGGCAAGAACAACTCAAATAAGCAAAGAGAAACGACAGTCCATCATTACTTTAAGACACAAAGGTCAGTCAATCCAGAAAATTTCAAGAACTTTGAAAGTTTCTTCAAGTGCAGTCGCAAAAACCATCAAGTGCTATGATGAAACTGGTTCTCATGAGGACCGCCACAGGAAAGGAATACCTAGTTCATTAGAGTTAACTGCACCTCAGATTGCAGCCCAAATAAATGCTTCACAGAGTTCAAGTAACAGACACATCTCAACATCAACTGTTCAGAGGGGACTGTGTGAATCAGGCCTTCATGGCTGCAAAGAAACCACTACTAAAGGACACCAATAATAAGAAGAGACTTGCTTGGACCAAGAAACACGAGCAATGGACATTAGATCGGTGGAAATCTGTTCTTTGGTCTGATGAGTCCAAATTTGAGATTATTGGTTCCAACCACTGTGTAGTTGTGAGATGCAGAGTAGGTGAACGGATGATCTCCACATGTGTGGTTCCCACCGTGAAGCATGGAGGAGGAGGTGTGATGGTGTGGGGGTGCTTTGCTGGTCACACTGTCTGTGATTTATTTAGAATTCAAGCCACACTTAACTAGCATGGCTACCACAGCATTCTGCAGCGATACGCTATCCCATTTGGTTTGCGCTTAGTGGGACTATAATTTGTTTTTCAACAGGACAATGACCCAACACACCTCCAGGCTGTGTAAGGGCTATTTGACAAAGGAGAATGATGGAGTGCTGTATCAGATGACCTGGCCTTCACAATCCCCCAACCTCAACCCAATTGAGATGGTTTGGGATGAGTTGGACCGCAGAGTGAAGGAAAAGCAACCAACAAGTCCTCAGCATATGTGGAAACTCCTTCAAGACTGTTGGGAAAGCATTCCTCATGAAGCTGGTTGAGAGAATGCCAAGAGTGTGCAAAGCTGTCATCAAGGCAAAGGGTGGCTACTTTGAAGAATCCAAAATCTAAAATATATTTTGATTTGTTTAACACTTTTTTGGTTACTACATGATTCCGTATGTGTTATTTCAACGTTTTGATGTCTTCACTATTATTCTACAATGTAGAAAATAGTAAAAATAAAGAAAAACCCTTGAATGAGTAGTTGTGTCCAAACTTTTGACTGGTACTGTATATGCAAAAATATAGATAGCGTCTTTGTATCTCAAAATCATTGTAATGTGGTTAACCTTAACATCTAAATAAAAATTATTGAAATCTAAAAGATACAATTCAGCCAGAGTGCCTTTAGATCATGGGAAAAGGCCACACTTGACCGTTGCTCTTGAATCATTCCCACAGTGAATGGCTCGGCCCGCTACGCTATGAAACCACACACTATTGATATGTTGAAAACAGTGTGTGGGGAGGCAGAGGCACAGAGACTCAAATCAATACCTTTGTCAGATAACACTGTTGAAGGAAGAATTTATGCTCTGACTGAATGACTCAAAAACTCCCCAGCCTATGCTCTCCAAATGGACGTTAGCTGTGAAGGTATAGATACCCATGCATTGACTTTTGTTCACTTATTTGTCAGGGGATGCTATTCACGAGGACATACTGTTCTGTCTCACGATTCCTGAGCATGAACCGGCATAGGGGATGTTCAGTGTGCTGCGTGGCTATATTGACGGGATCAAATGGTGGGCTTTTGCACAGATGGGGCTCCATCTATGGCGGGACGGCGGGCATGTCTCTGCACGCTAGTTATGAATGTGTCTCCCTCTGCCATATGGACGCATTGTATGATACACTGAGAACAACTGGTGGCAAAAGAACTGAGCACAGAACTCAGAGATGTACTGCAGCAGGTAACTCAAACCACATCTAATGCGCACACGCCTGTTTGGCATCCCTGTTCCCTGTTCGGTATGTGGAGATATGGGGCTGGCTGGCTGGCTGGCTGGCTGCAGAGCATGACAATGTTCTATTTCACTCCAAGGCTTGGTGGTGTAGGATATATTTTTTTTCAGATTGAGAGATGAACTGTTGTCAGTCATAATGAATATAAAAAAACAGACATGCTTGACTTTCTGTGTAATGAAAATAAAATAACAGAAAACAGCATCAGTAAGTGTCCCACACGAGTGATGACTGCTCACTTCCAACACTTGGAAGAGCACTTTGAAACCTACTTCCCAAGCCGTTTGACTGTGATCCTGGCTCAGCTGATCGAGCTGTCATGTCACCAAATGCTGCAGACAACGCATTCACCCATCACTACAGAGGAGTTTTGGTTCCTGATTTAAAGGGAATAAATACCCTGCAGTCTCCCTCTGAGCGTTAATGCCGCGTTCAAAACAACTGGGAACTGGGAATTTGGAAATCTAAGACTTCCGACTTCAGTGCGTTCAAGACAACTGGGAACTCGGAAAGAAAGGAACTCCGACTCGGAATTCGATCTCGGGCCTCATTCTAGCTCCAACTTACCGACCGAAATATCACTGACGTCATGATTTGACCTCGTATTTTTCAGAGTTACCAGTTGTCTTAAAAGTACCATAAAACTCATAGTAGGCTACCCTTCGCCAGCTCATATCTGTGTGAAGCTGGATTCAGTGCTCACGTCTGCATTAAAACCAAATATTGATCCAGGTTGGATGTGACAGCAGAGGTGCGCACTGTCGACCATGCCCGCTGACTTTGAGAAGCTCTGATGCGACATACATCAAGCACACCCATCTCATTAGTTGTGGTGAGATAAGAGATATTATGTCAAACTAATTTGCAATTGACTGTCATAGCCCCACATT